AAAATGTTATTTTGCCATTTGAGAATGAAGAAATAGTTTATTAATGTCTCTAACACTAAAGATACATTAATGCATCATAAATTTTATTTGTTTAATTTATGTGTTTATATTCTGAGATGGCTTTAAGATTCGTTTCCATACCATGTCATCCCTTATACTGAGGTGGCATATCATATTATCTTCTTATTGAGTTTGATAATTAGATATATATGTTCCTTTCAACGTGGATTTCTTTAATGTTAGTGTTTGATCCAAATCATATTTGGATCGAGCCTCTTAAACCAATATCATTACATAAGCCTCATAAATAAAATCTTAGCTATATTATTCAATAATGGATCTAAAAACCTTGAAATCTAGAAGAAAAAAATCGGTGTGATTTTTTTTTTTGATGTAGATGGTGTACCAATATAGTACCTTTTCCTCTAGATTTGTAACCCATGAATGAGTTGAAAGTCTATGAGTTTTTGTGAGTTGCTTAATCATTATTGTGATTTATGATGTGACATGTGCCTTTATCGATTAACGTGCATGACATAATGATGTGGTAAATCAATTTTTGGATTAACTTATTATATGTTACATCATTGAAATTTAATAATGTTAGTCTACGCGTCATCAACCATTGATCTTTCATTTTCTTTTCTTTCAAAATGATACTCCCTCTGTCTCACAATGAGTGGTCCATTTGGAATAAAAGAGTTTCTCAAAATGAATAATCCATTTCAATTTCAATGCATATTTTTCAATTTTACCCTTTAATTAATATTATTTTCATCATTCACAATACATGATAAAGGTACTTTAGTAAAAACATCATTCTGTTTCATTCATTTATTCTTTTTTTCTTAATCTGCGTAAAAACTCAACTGGGTCACTTATTGTGGGATGGAGGGAGTAAATTTTTTTTCGTTCTTTTTCATTTTTTGCATTTGTCTTTTATACTCGCTTATAATCAAATCATTATGACTTCTCCCAGTATATGTTTTTCCTCCACATTATTCACCATTTTAAAAGTTATTCTTTTTTCTTTCTAAAATGTCTTATTAGAATAGTGCATGTATGTGCATGATGATTAAGTACACATGAGTATGTTAAGTAATGTGCATGATCATGCTAGGCTAGTTAGTTAGATGAATAACTAACTTTTGAGTTAGTTACCAGCACTTCAAGTGTTCATAGTGTGTATAAAAGTGAAGACTCCTACAATTTAAAATTACACAAATGAATATACAAAGCACGTAAATCTTGCATATTGGGTAATGAAGCCTTCTATCTATCTCTCTTTTCTTAATGAATAATATATCATTCTAATATGGTATTATATGCCTAAGAGAGACCTTATTCTAATGCATCATCTTTAGCCTTGTGTGTTTCACCATTGTTGAAGGTTTCAAGTTTCAAAGAAGTTATGTTTCTATCGCAATCCAAAGGTTTCAGAGAAATCGTAAATGAATTCTTGAGTCATTTTGGTTCCGGAGAAGCTGCGACTCGTCTTGTGTTCGTGTTATTATGATCTCCAAGTTCCAACCTTCAAAGAAGCTAATATTTGTTGTGTTTTTCTATTCAAGTTACACATTGAGTTTCAAAGAAACATCAATGGCGGATCTTGAATAAAATCTAACCGAATTTCCATAAGGTGTGCAAACTTCACAAGTTTCAATGAAACAACTCGCATTTTAAGGTACCACGAACACCTTTGCACCGAAATTTCCCATTAACCTTCAATAAAATGATTTATTGCTTTGGAATCATCAAGTTGGGGGAGTAACTCTCTCACACAAGTTCCACAAAGTGGTTTTTAATCCATAAATTTCACCTATGTTCAAAAGTTAACATGATTGAGTTGCCAATATCATTTATGAAAGCTATGAAGTATGGATTGTGCAAAATCAAACCTTATTCACCTGATTGCTCTCGACAACATCTGAAGTTTTTCTACCACATATCTTATCTTGCAAACATGCATATGAGATAATGTGATAAGGTGCATAATCACTTCAATTATTAGATGAAAGCTCGAGTTCATCAACTTCTCTTTGAATTGAAAACCAGAAAGAAAGATAGCAAGACAATTTATGAATATGTTTTGCGTATTCGTGCTATTGTAGACTCTCTCATTTCCATTGGTGATCCAATCTCAGAAAGGGATCAAATTAATCCAATACTACAAAGGTTACCATGGGAGTACAAACTCTTCATTATAATAATCTATAGCAAAGGGGAGCCAACAAATATCTATGATGTATAAGCACTTTTATATGGCTAATAAGCTCAGTTGGACAAGTATAGGCAAAAGTTAACCTCCCTTAGTGCCTATGCAAATATAACACAAGGTTTGCTTAAATCATAAGCTACCAAAAATGGTGCATCCAATGCTAATAGTCGTCACTAATTTTTTAGAAGAGGAAGAAACACATGTGGCAGAGGTCAAGGCATGCAAACTTATACCATAGGAAATAGGCCCACGTGTCAATTGCACAACAAGTATGGCTACTTTGTACTTGAGTGTTAGCATAAGTTTGATGAGAAATTTGAACCCGCTCTCACAAGACTTAGTCCCAAGGATCTGCTGAAAATAACATCCTAAAATCACAATTCATCAAGTTGTGGAAACTTTTCTACCTTCTTGCCATGGTTGATACATTTCACTATCTCCCAATATTGTATAAATAAATACATTATCGTCATACAATTTAGTTATTATAACATATATAGTTCAATTATTTATGTTACCTCTCTTCTCACACGTGCCTAATAACATGGTGTTCATATAGAGAGGAAGTAGGAAAAGGTATGAGGGGCCTCTAGGAAAACTATCAGACACTGTATCATCAGGTTTAACATTGGGTACAATAGCATGTACTAGAGCATCGAAGACTTTATAATGAGGCAGAGATACATGATCCCAAGAAGACAATTCCTCGGCAACAAATGATGATTCTTTAACTGCGGGTCGCTAGGGTCTTACTTACTCGTTTTGCACTGAGACATGTTAGACCACTTTATCATATATCATTTTTTCTTGGGTGTTATTATTTATTAGGTGCTGAGCTATTTTTCCTAAAATCAAACAAGAAAATGCATATCATAATCAAAGAAGCAAACATAATATATTAGCAAACCAAATTTCAAAATGGTCCATAAAATAGAGAAACTCTAATATTGTTAATCAGACTAAGGGTCCAAATTCCAAAATCTAAACTACACATAACCAGAAAACAGAGCATGTATTACAAACCTTAAGTTCAAAATTTCAATCCAATACTAATTAAGACAAAACAAATACACCATTTCTATTACATGTAAACTAATATAGCATAACTATAACCTATTTACAAATTGCATGCATCACAAAAAAGGAAATAAATTTTTTACCAAATGCGATAGATAAATGATCTTAATTTTATTGTAGTAGATTATAACTCGACAAACATGCTAAGTTTAAATATACTTAGTAGAAGTTAGAAGTTATGACAAAGATTAAAAAAAACTTAGTGTAGGAGTAAGTTTGATGAAACGAAATAGAAAGAAAAGGATAAAGGATAAAGTCTGAATACGAATACTTAAATGAACACGTTTTGATTTTAATTTTTCTAAGATAATTTTGATTTTGAAATTCAAATTATACTTAAATAAACACACGTTTGTTTTCCCTTAATTTTTAAAATGGTTTGATTTCAATTTTTATAAAGCAATTTTGATTTTAAAGTTCGAATTTCTTTCCAACTTTGTTTTCCCTGAGTTCTAAGATGGTTCATGATGGTGTGTTTGGAAAGCATCTGAATTCATTGTTTAAATAAAAAAAAAGTTTATTAAAATAATAAAATTTTATGAAGTATTTTGTCTAAATTAAATTTAATAATTTTGAGATGACACATAAAATAAAAAGATTTAAAATTCCTCTCATACTACATAATGTCAATTTAAATATTATTATTTCAATTTTACAAGTTAACTTATAAAATATTTTAAAAATTACAAATTGATCCTTAATGATTTCCATATTTTACAAATCAATCCCTTTAAATTTTTAAAAATTGCAACTTAGTCCTTATTTCTGAAATTTTAAATTTGAACCAAAATTTATAAAAATGACCAAAAAATTTAACAATGAACACCCATAATACTCTATCTAAACAAAATAAATAAATAAAATATAATTAAATTATTTAAATTATTTAATATTTTAAATTCCTTAAAGTTTTCAAATTTTCCAATTAAAACAAGTGAATCTAAAACTTCTGTGAATATTTGGCCCCTGACAACTGAATTAGGATCTTATGAAGCATATTACATTGTTTTTAAAATTTTAATCTCATGTGCGCAAATATATAAGAATACATCATGTTTTCTTAACATGAATCCTTCGAGAAGTGTCAGACCAACCAAAAAAAACATCTTAAAGATCTCAAAAATAGTAATCCCAATATAAAAAACTAAAAAAGTATGATATCGAACCAGGCTTTTATAAAAATGGTCGCACTATCTCATGTAAATGGGAATAGTAATGATGTAAAAAGATAGAGAAAAGTGAATATTAAAAATAAAAAAATTAATTTTTTTAATTATGATATATTCTTATATTTTTCACTCAATCATGAGAACACAATATGCTTGCAAAAACATACAAATCAAAGTAACAAAAAAGTGATAATGTCATTACTCGGATACTATAAGGTTCACACCAATAGATAATGCACAATCAATCATACATAAATTCCAACCACAACCCTTTTCTAAAGTCTATAAACTAAATACTCCTAATTCTCTTCAATTTACAAACTTTCAAAGCTGTTATCCATTCCTATAAAAATATCTAAACAGAAGACATAGTTTTGTCCTAAGAAACTGAAAAGTAATAAATTAGTTCTAGCATTGATGGATTTTGATCTTAAAATTCAACTGATCCATTCATTAGAAAACTGTTAGCAGTAATTTTGGACTTGTAATAATATGCCAAAACTACACAATCAACAAACCAGTGGAAATACTGGTTTTCAACTGGCTGCCACAGCATTAGCTCTAGGGTTTGCATCAAGTAGTTGATGCAGTTTTGCACCAGAATTAGGTTTGTTCTCACAGAAACCATTCTCTTCCTCTGCAGTTCTATCACCAGAGTTTGAATTATTAACTCTTGATAGTAAGTTTTCTGTACTTACAGGTGTAGCTCTCTTGTCAATGCTGTTCAAAATTATCTCTTCTGTCTGTTCCAGTTGAGTGTTTTTCAGCTTTTCCTGAGTCAAAATTATCTTTAGTCAGTATCACAAAGTACCTACCGAGGGTGCGTACTGTGTCAGATACCAACACACGCAATGTCAGTGTGTGTGTGTGTGTCAATGCTTTGTAGCCTATGAAATGCCAAAGTGTAAAGGAATTTTATGTTTGCATTACCTTTAATATAGCATTTTCTATCTTCAGCTTCTCAGAGTTTTCAGCAAATTCATTTATTTCCGATTTCAGCGCCAAATTCTCAGCAGTCAATGCATCAACTCTTCGTGCCAATTCTTCAGCCTCAGCCTGAATAGAGGAAATAAGAACATTAGTCATGAACTTTGCTTTTACGAAAACTTTTTCTTGAGTGCTACTACATGTATATGCATCGCGCGCTTGTTTGAAGAAACTTAATTAAGTGTTTGTAGCGTAAACTATAAATATTTATGTATAAGCCATTTCTATATTTCTATAACATGTAAAATAAAGTCAAATTGTTTTTATATGCTATAAGTTGTTTTCATAAACTATCCTGAAGAGCTTATGGAATTCAGCTGAAAACAACTTATAGATATATCATAAGTTGTTTCTAGAAGCTCTCCCAAACAGTCTCACACGTGTTTATACATGTATATAAGTTAAACTATTTCAATATAAACATGCACCAATTAAGAAAACATGGGACAATAAAAATGTGACAGGGAAAACATGTGAAACAAAAACTGCAACAATTCAGACCTGCTTCCTCAGCCTGGACCTTCTAGCAGATTCACGATTCGATTGTTTCCTCCTCTCTCGTTTCAGCTCACGCTCATTCTAAGGAATTCAGACCAAAAATTAATTGTGTCAACAAAAGATGAGGATACTGCATTATTGTTGTGTTTCAAAAGAATTTCTTATGTACTAGATGTGAGAAATGAACCATTAGGACTAAATTTTGACGGTACCTGCATCCAAGGTTCAGGAGGCAAAACTCCACAAGGTTGTGGAGCACCGGTAGGAACATTTGAAGGGTTCCTCAGCTCCAGTGCTGTGGTCATACATGAAGAAAGTACAGGTCCAACAAATTTTTCTGCAACACTGGTTGGGGTAACTGGCACCATCATTTTGGAAGCTGCAATCTCTTTATAAACTGGACTATTTTGCATCACAGTTTTCCCTTCTCCATCTGCTCAGATAATTAATACCTTAAGATACTTGTAGATAACATCACAATTTAAATATATGAAGAATATCTTTTCTATAAATGCATCATTAGGACACCAAACATTTGACTGTAATTGACTCTAACAAAAGGCCCCAATCTTAGTAGCACGTGATTCAAATTAATTAGAAAGTTAAAAGCATGGGAATTTAACCTTAACTTGCATTAACAATTAGATAGTATCTATTTATCAAGATCATATTCAAAGAACAGTTGAATTCAGAAGTATAATTGTGATCCAGAATAACTATTATTGTTTATCATACCAGTGGTTGTTGGTGTTTCATCCCGGCTTCTTTTCCTTGTTCCATTGGTCTGCAAATTGACAAATATTTTCATGCTTCGGCGTTTTAAAGGCATTTTAAATAAGAGACTATTACTATTAGTAAGAAATTTCTCACCCTTGTAGTGTTGCCATCACTTCCATCACTGGAACCCTCGGTATCCACACTGTTGATATCATAATAAAGTTATTATTTTACAAGAACCTAATAGAATATCATACTCATAAACCAAGGAAATATTGGAAGTGCAATTAGTTCTGGTAATCATCATATAGAGCAAACCTTCGAGATAGCCGATTTTCCGCTCCATGCTCAGCAACATTGCCATTGCCTATTGACATCGCAAGCCCGTCAAATCCTTTCAATTTTTTAATTAAACCCCGATCACTGTTTCCAGGTGATTTGGTTGGTGTCTCTATGCTTGCAGGAGTCCCAGCCTGCATAGTTCCCCAAGCCAATCCATCATTATTTACAATACTCAGGGAGTCGATTAATCGACAGATTAGGAACTTAAGAGCAACCTCAAAAAATCAAGACTTACAACGGGTGAAGATGGATTTCCTTGACCATGTGAATTTGTCCCCTATATTTTACCAACAAAATTCATAAGTACATAGGGAAAACATTCAACAACAAAGGTTTGCTACATTAAGTACATCAAAGAATGAAGAAGTTAACTAGTAGTAACAGTAAAAAGAAGCCAGTACAAAAATAACTTCAAATATACCTAGTTCCAAATAGGATCAAAAGAATCACATCTCAATATATCACTAACCTTTTAATTTTTTTAATAAAAATAACTAACCTTTTATGGTTTATATTCATACATTAAAGTACAATTAAAATCAACTAATTCATGGTCCAAGCAATAGTAAACAAAAATTTCAACATGTGTGTATGAGAACCATAACAAAAATTGTGAGAATGTAGACTTACTATGGCAACTGCAGGGTGACTATAAACTCCTCCATGTGAATAAAATGGTGCATACGGTGGCCCATATGGATGCATCATAGGCTGAAAGAAACAATAAGTTGGCAAATTATTCATCCCTGCCATCAAGGAGTACACTAGGACAACGGCACACAAAAAAAGTAGACATGGAAATATTAATGGTAAAACAAAGTAAATGAGCCTATGGAGCACTACCTGTGGTGGTCCCCACATGTATGGGTGAGGAGGATGACCAGAAGCAACAGCTGAGTTGAAGTATGGTGGAATGTTGACTCTTTGCCCATAATATGCCTGAAGATATAACACACTTTAAATCACCAAAAGAAGATTTTAATGGGCAATTCTTTTCAAAAGCGAAAGCAATCGGGGACCGATGTGAATCCCATCATAGATATCATAGTTTGTTCTCCTACGGATTATCAAAATCAGATGCAACACAATGCAGAATTCCAATATGATATCAATTAGTAAATCTACACTGATATTGTATAGCAACTCAGAAAAATACTAGATGAGTAGATGCGTAACATAAAACACCACAGGAATGGTGCTATATGTGTTTACTTGATACTTTACGATAAATATAGTTGAAATTTGCAAAAGGGAACAGTATAAACAGCTTTCATCAGCAAATCAAAATGGTAAAAAACAAAATGGACATTATAGTTCAAATAAGGTAGCTGAAGTCTATATGAAAATATGTAGGTGCAGATTAATGACATTGAAGCATGGTATAAACGGAGCCGATGAAGACAACTCTGCATTGGTTGATAAATATCAATAAACGACTTTTTAACCACTATACTTTTTAGAGATTAATTTTGATGGTCAAGTAAGACTTTCCACTATCAATCACTCACAAACTATCACTTGTACAACTTTTATGACATATAATTGAAGGAAAATATTTTCAGCAATCCAATAGTTATGTTTGATTGACAGCACACAAAAAATCTTTGCATATCAATGAATTCCTACTTTTTATGGATTTATTTTACAATATACATACATCAATTAGTAAAGCTTTAAAGCAATTTATTACACTGAAATGAAGATACCAAACAGATAACAATAATGAAAATTCCAGTCATCATTATGGTATAAAAAGGAAATGAAAGAAAAAGGCTGGTAACCTGCATGGCAGCCCAATCAGGATAGACATGAACGTTTGACTGGTTGCTTTGATTGGTCTCATCCTGTTATGAACAATGAAACAACAATAATATTTAGTCACACGCATTATAAAATGTTTCCAGTTCCACAGATATACATGATGCACACACTGTTCTCAACTTACAGTTGTTACTGGTGAAGAAGGCCTTTCAGTCTTAATGGATTTTCCATCCTCACTGTTTCCCATGAGGTAAGCAAGCACCAAAAAGAAAGCACGGAGACTGAGTCAAATACTTCCTGAAAAATTATACAACTGCACTTCAGAAAATGCTATATAAACTGTTATCAGCTATAAAAAGAGAAAAGTAGCCACAAAGTAAAAAAGTAAAAAAGAAGCATAAAGGAATAGCAACTCAAACATTTAAAATCTATGAAGCCTCGACACAAACATGGACACGGAACATTGACACATAAACAACCAATAATAATTTAATAAAATAAAAATGATGGTACGTAATTACAAGTGTCCATGTCAGACACCAAACACATGTCAAACACACAACACACCTTGAATCTCAAGTGTCAATACTACATAGTTTAAAAACATCGGTTCAATATGAAAACAATAAATCAGATACAAACAACATACATAGGTGTGAAAATGGTTTTAGCCTTCTAGCTAGCATTCTTACTAACCAAGAGACAACATATATTAGACAATTAACTTCTGCTGATTGACACTGACCCAGTAAGCTACTATAGAGAAAGATGCCATCATGTCATCATACAAACATCATATTTTCTTTCTTAGGACCACAGATAAAATGATGAAATCAAAGACAGTCAATCAATAACTGAATGGTACAGAGAGTCAAACATCTTTTTTTTTTCTACCCCGCAAGTCACATACAATTAGAAAACAATCACAAATTAACACAGCTTATCATAATTAACATTCCAAAAAAACCTCAATTATTTTTCTAAAAAAAAAAAACTTTTCACTTCAACCTAAACCTCCAAAGTTTATAATATACATACATATATACTTCAATCCCGATCTGAAATATCCTTCTTTTTTCAGCTACTACACATGTCAAAACTAAATTTACAAAAATTACAAAATTAACATCAAAAATTGAATAAAAACAAATTTAGCATACAAGTTCAAAGATTATAAAACATACACAAAACAAGATCCATGGCAGAGAAAATTCACTCTAAGCTTCAATTTTCAGTGTTTCAACGAACAAAAAAAATTTAAACTAAACCAGATAACTTTCCTCTTCGTTGCATATATTTCTTCCATACTTTCCCCTTAATAAACAGAACTTCAAACTTCATAAACTCAAAACAAAAATCAAAATCCTCTTACGTTACCAAAATTGAAATTAAAACAATAAAACATTGATATTCAATTCAACATACCTGAAGAAAAACGAAGAAACAAAATCGAAAGCGAATCCTGAGAGGTAGAAAAAAAATCCTGAAATTAAGGTCGAAATTCGGAAGAAAAAAACGAGGGAAAGGGATTTGCTGAGAGAGAGAGAGAGAGAGAGAGAGAGAGAGAGAGAGAGAGATGAAAGGGTGGCGAGAGAAAAAGGAGGTGGAAGAAAAGAGAGAGAGAGTGCGATTTCCACGTCATCGTGTACACGTGTCGTATGAGGAGCTGGCGTATTTGTACACCGTATATACGGTTGGGTGGAGATTGTTAGGGTGAGCTGGCTGTTTGTTTATTTGAAATATTATTGGCCGTACACGTGGTGGTGATTAGAATGTCCAACCTAGCTATGGAAACCCACCACGCATCTCTCCGTCATGTGCGCTTACGTGTCTACTATTAGTTTTATTTATTTTTAATTTAAAGAGAAGACTTATATTATTGTTTTCTATATATAAAATATGACTTTAATGCTTTTATCTATTTTGAGATGTGTACTTTTTAAATACCAGTTTTTTAAGGTTTTTTTTACGCAGATATTCTTATTATTTTTATTTTTTTTTGGTGTGTTTCATATTTTTGAAAAATTAAAATAGTCTTTAGGCTTTTCGGAATGCAGCGCACTTAAAATTGTGTCAGTTTTTCTCTTTTTTGTATTTTATTTTATTTTTAAAAAAAATTCATATGTATCTTTTATCGGATTTAAATGTATTTGAAGACGTATTTTTGAAATATTTTCTGGACTTATTTATGGATTTGTTATTCACACAATAATTTAAATAATAATTTCGAAGATACATCTCCAAAAATATTCAACGAAAAAGTTGATAAAACACCGTCTTGCATGAGCTTTTTCTTCATGCTAAAACGAAAAAATATATCTCATTCTCAATCAATTTTTCAACACCAAAATATCATTTCAGTATTTCACCACTTCAAAAGGAGTAAAACACGCTGGAATTGCAGGTAAATATCATTTGTTTCATCCCTCATTTCTTGCATTAATCTTAGTTTTTTTGCTGAAAATGAAAGTTGAGTCCGGAGATGCATTTTCAGGCAATGTTAGGTGAGTTCTGGGCGATGTTGGGTGAGTTTCGAATATTTATCTCCGGATTATCCTGATAGTTTGAAATGTAACACTGCTTTTGTGTTATTAGTGGTAATAGATATGGTGCGCCCATTCCAAAATTTATTGTGACTGTGGATGTTAAACCGATCGAAGTGAAGCATGATATTAAACCAGATGACGTGAATAATGGTGTTCAACCAGATGAAGTGAATAATGATTGTCTTCTATCTGAGCCATTGTCGCACCTTCTAATTACAATGTAATACCCCAATTTTCCGACCTCCCCACAGACGACATCATTATTCACGGACCAAATGCTCTAAAACTAACATAATAAAATACATACATCTTTTGGTCAGAGCATTACGATGTTAGAACAAGGCTTCAAAGACGACATCATTTATTCACAATTGTTTAGTAATGTATCTCATCTCAAGAGGCTTTGAATTATATTTTTCACGAAGCCAGGCGAACAGATAAAACAGTTTCAGATAGCTCTAGGTGTGGATGTACACTTAGGACGACTTACGGTCTTCCATGTGCTTATTCAATTTTAAAGAAGATGAAGCTTAAAAAACCAATATGTATGGGTGAAGTTGCACTCGCTGGAAAAAGCTCCATTTTGACGATGATGGTGTGATAAAGGATGATAAATCAAACATATATATCATGACTGAGTGGAAAGTGATTCAAGAGAGATTCATAAAAGCTAATGACATCGTGAAATTGCACATCAAAAATCAATTTAGGAAGATTGCATATCCAGAAACAACGGATTTGAAACCACCACTGAAACTGGTTAAAACAAAATGTGCCACTAAAATGATAAAATCGACTCAAAGTGACAACTTCATGAGATGGTCTTCTTCATATTTTAAACATGTTGACTAACATTTTCTGGATTCTCCAACTCAAAAATCCCCAAAAAAAAATGTTTTCAAGGGTGCTCACATTAGCAAACCATCTCTTCCACCGATGTTACCAAAAATCAAATTCATTGAAGAGATGTTGCTTTTTATGCACAACTACATCGAGTGGATTGTAAATGTTGAAAGTGACAACAATTGTGGTTTTTGAGATGTTTCGGGTTTACTCGGTAAAGAAGAGGAGAACCACCAATTTGTTCATCGTCATCTTATATAAGAGATGGCGACACATAGGGAATCATACACAAAACTATACTGGAACAAAGAAAATTACGATACAATTCTCAATGCTCTTGTTTCCTGTCTTAGCTGTCCGACTACGTTTGACAAAATAGATACATTTTCAACAAATGTGATATCTTATAGCAAATTCTTATGATATGGTGTGCATTAATTTAACACGATATGGTTTCTCATAAATATTTTTTCCACTTCGGAGCAAGGCACCTCATAATCCATCAGAATGCATCATGTATATTAGTTGGCTATCAAAAGCATAACATTTAATTCAGGTTTATTTGAAACCAGGATGTCCTATACCAAAGACATCATCAGAATGGACGACACATTTCACACAAGATGTTGAAGCATGGCCGAATCACTTTCTTGAAAGGATGGAAGAGTTTACCAAGTTGAGTGACATTGAATTATAAACAAATAAGGAAATGTTAAAGAATGAGTCACTAATATATTTAGGAAATGATAAATGTTTTGATGCGTTTTAGTTCCAATATAACAATGTAATACGTTTTTTGTAAGTAACACACTGCATAATGTTATAAATTTGGTTGATATTTTTTGAACATTTTGTGTTTTTCAAGTTCTACCCTGCATAATTAGAATGGTTTTGTTCTGCCTAATATTTTGGTGGTTTCAGAGATGCATCTCTGAACACACCTTCTAATTATTTAAAAAAAACTAAACAAGGGATAATCCGATGCATCTCCGGATAGACCGTTATGTTTTGAAAAATAGGTAGGTTCGAATATGTATCTCAGAAGTCTTGCATGCAGATATGATCATGTTTGTAAGGTCCTTATTGCTTTACAAATTTTATAAATAAGGTCTCTCATTCCGTTTTCTTTACACAAACCAGAATAACTACAAATCCCCATCTTTTATTTGTGTATTTCAATGGTGCAAAATCCTATTTCAATTTCGGATGTGTGAGGACATACTTGTCATCGATCTGAAAACAAAATTGAATACTCTCTTGTGATATTCAAAAAACACGAGAGTTGTCAAGCTCGAGTACCATTCACCCTCTATAGACAATGAAGGCAACATACAGTTCACCATGCTTGAACTGATATTGGACGATGATTTGAAGGTGGTGTGGAATACCTTTTACCGTTACTCAACAAAGAATCTCATTGTAGTAGATGTGAAGATTAAAAGATAGGCCGAAGATATTATAAGAATGTTACAACATCCCAAACCACCTGCTTTTAATAATATGTAATGTTTATATATGTGATATTTATTTTGGAGTTAATTTATGTTGGTTTTCCATTATACCGTTGATTCAGCCTATTTGTGCTTTAATCTAACAGAGTATTTTCTGGAGATACATCTCCGAAAATCTCACTGACTAATGAACTAAGGAGGTTACGGAAATGCATCTTTGATCAACTTTTTGTGCATACAAAAATGCATCTCTCGATCAAATCTTAAGAGAATAAGAGCTTCTCATTATTTTTACCTCAGTTGTGTGTGGAAAATGTACGTCTAGAAATGCATCTTCCAGCCTTGAAAACATTTTAATGTTTTCACGGTGGTGTGAGTGAACCCCTAAAACTAGAAAGAGCAATCCC